TTTATTTATTTATTATTATTTAGCATACAAAGGTTCTTGCAATGAGTAAAATTCGTAGTAATATTTTATATCAACATTGAATTAAAGAAATTACTCAAACTGATCAGCAAATAAGAAGGCTTCATATCGCAACTCTAATTGCTGATGATTCTAATAATTCTGATAAAGAAGAACAAAATATTGATAAAAATGATTTAATAATAGTAAGTGATGATAATAATAATATAGAAAATGATGATAAAGAAAAAAGAAAAAAAGATAAAATAGAACCAAATACTGAAGAAAATGAAAATCAATGGAAAGCAATTATTTCTCAATGGATTGAAGAGGTTAATTATGAAAATCAGGTTGAAATTAGTAATGATGAATTGCTGTTTAATGGAGATTTAAATTATGATTTTTTGGTAGGAAATCGAAATGTTCATCCAGCTGATGATTTAAATGCAAAATGAAAATTATCTCTTCTTTTTATAAATAGTTTAGAACTACCTACATATGTTGAAACTTTTTTCGAAAATGAATAAATATGAATAAAATCTATTTTTACAGTAATAAAATTTAAACTTAATAATTAATATATAAATAATTTTTCCTGAGGGGTACCAAGTACCCCCCAGACCCCCTTCTTGGGTTTTTTTTTATCATTTTTTAATTTATTTATTTATTTATTTTATTTTATTTTATTATTATTTATTATTATTTCTATTTAAAAAACAAATAAAATCGAAATTATATATACTTTTTTTTGATTGGTTAAAATTATATGACAATATCATAAGGTCATAAATATTTATAAATGACAAATGACAAATGATAAATCATGTAAGTCATATAGGTCATATGATATCATATACCAACACTGATCTTTGCAGTCAAATGATATTAGTCTTATCATAGGGTTACTGAAACTGGTTTAGAAGAATTCAGTAATATGTAAGATATAAAAAACTTTTTTTCACCAATTAAATATGGTCATATGAGTAATACGCACTAATAATATTCTTTCACATGATACTAGTGACGCTAAAAATTTCTCTAATACTATTAAAATTAACATTGAAAAAATTATAACTAAAAAAAATTTTTATAATAAAATAGACAAAAAAAATATGTAGTTTGTAGACCATATCAAAGATATTAAATTATATATTTTTTTTAATAGTTGTATATTTAAATAAAATTCCTTTATATTTTAAAATCATTAAAAATCCTTAGATGTGACTAAGCTGTTTGCACTATAATACTGAGCAATAAATAAGAATAAGGAACGAATTACATGATGGAAAACTGCATGTAAAAGATTTTTAATTCTACTAAAATAAATTCACAATCTTCTAAATTTAAGAGGAGAGATTTTTATTACTATTGTGAAAATATTCATTCTATTGTAATTGCTAAAATCATTGCAGTATTTAAGGTAAATTACTTAAATTTCTGTTAAATTTATTATATATCTTATATTCTCTAATTATTTTATTCTTTACATTATTTAAGAAACGTGGATCAAGTTACATCTGTGTAGATCTATTTTATGGTTCAAATGAAGGAAGAATTCATGTATATCTATATGATCTTAAGTCAGATTCAAAGCATAAATTCATTCCTATTACAGTAGTGGTCATAAGTATCTGACCGCCTTTAACTCCAACTACAAATAAATAAATTCAAAATTTTTTTTATTTAAAAATACATAACCAACTAACTAAAATTAATACATTATGTAGTCACTATCTGATTCTATAAGTGCAGCTGTACGCCTTTTTATACTAGCTACAAAATTTGCGATAAGCATAGATAATAATTAGTTTCATTCTTTTGTAAGTTCCCCTTTAACTCTCTAATTGATTGAATTATTTTTTGTATATTAATTCTTATTAACCTTCAAACATTTTCTATAGATTTTGATCTGAAGATATTAATAGCTAAGAAAGTACCTCAATGCTATTTTCTTTCTTTCATTTTTTTACGATTTTTGATCAATACTTTAAATTATTATCTTCTTGCAAGATCCAATCTATGTTACCTTTACCAAAAAGTTTAGAGGTGAAAGCCAGAAGACCCTGCTCATAAATAACACACATAAATTTAGCAATAAAATTCTTCTAAAAGCAAAATAGTTTATCAAATCCAGAAATAGAAAAACATCTCTAAACATGAACTTTTGGTAGATGCTTAACAGAACAAAACACTTTTTTTCTATCAGGAAATTGCTAAACCTTTTTTTTGATGTATATAATTGAAATGTACTCTCATCTGTAAAAACAACTTGATTCCAATCAAAATTCTTATGTTTTTTTACCCATTGTAACCTTTTCTTTTGATGGTTTTCTTTAAGCAAAGGTTTAGAAATTTCATTACTAAACTTTTCTCTAAACTTACAAAGACGTCGTTTTACTATTTCTACACTAAACCCAACACCTCTTTCTTACATTTTTTCTTGTATTTGAATAGCTGTTATATTATGTTCTTTCTCTACCATCTTTACAATCTTATCATCTTGTTTCACAGATATTACACAAGGCCACCCCAGTCTTTCTAAAGTACTTAAGTCTTGATTTTCATGATATCTTTTAACTTAATAAATAGCTGTAAACTTACTACAACGTACTTGTTTAGTAATAAATCTAAAACTAAATTTTGGACCAACTGGGTATTCACGTAAAAAGATAATTTCATATTGTTTCTTTAAAGAAAGTTCCATTTTTCAAGTGAAAGTTTGATGATCATCTAAATTTTTTTTTTTGTATCATTGATATTTATAAATTTATAGGTGATTATGTATTGTATTACATTATATTTTGAGAAAATTTAAGGGGTAGTTATATAATAATTTTAGATGATCTCAGACGGTCGGATACTTATGACCGCTACTGTATCTATACAATATTTCATTATTAAATTTATGTTATATTTTTATATTAATATACAATAACAATAATATTTTAAGTAATAAAATAGAAAACTTTAGCAAAATTTATGTATTTAATAATTTAATAAGAAGGATCAGGAGTGATTTCTCTAGATCTAGTTATATGTACGTTCATGATTGGTTATGATTCAAGTGAAATAGCTGTTAAATGAAGGAAAAATGATTTTGGTTGAATCTATCGACTAAGTCATGCATGTGACAAGCTTTAAAGTAAACGCAATCGTATTTATTAAAAAAATAAGCGAAAATGTTACAGGTAAAGTTTATTTATTAATTCATTTATTTATTTAATATTTATTTATAATTTAACATATATACTACTTTTAATTATATATTATGTTGTGTTATATTATATATTCACAAAAGGATTCGTTGTCTTGTAAATGATTGTCATTACAAGCTATCTATATGTCTTTGTGAAAATTATCATGTAATATTACTACCTAAATTTTATACTCAAGGAATAGTTTGATGTAAGTAACGATGTATTGGGTTTAAGACTGCTTGAGCTATATATACATGATTACATTATCATTTTCAACAACATCTGATTTATAAAACATGTGAACATCTCTAGTGTCAAGTATTAATTTATACAAAAGAATATATAAGCAAAACTTATAAATCTTATAGTTATATTTATAGATAGTTAGGTAGATCTAAGATGTTTTGCTATTCTCGATGTAAAACAAAGCTCAATAGAAATATTAATAGTGCTTATAATATTCTTCTTCGATATCTTACAAAAAAGAAGTTAGCTTAGGCTGATGTAGGGGCCTATTCCCTTATAGGATTTGTTATAATCTAATTTAGACTTTGCTTAATGTAGAATGTTATTAGTAATAATAGGTTTTAATGTAGGTATATGTAATTCAAGAGACTTTATATATTATTATAAGAGGAAAAACCCTCAAGAATTTTTTATTGGTTAATAAATTCTAAGTATTTATTTTTCTTCATAACTAAATCACTAAATATCATTAGAAAATTTTGTTAAAAAATACACAAAAACTCGTTAGTTTCTATGATGAATTCTGTGAGTGATAAAAGTTAATTCTGTGAAATTCTGTGATTTGGCCAGAATTATGCAAGATCAGCCAACATTACGATTCGCAAATTCTGGCCAAACTTAATATCAGCCAGCATTACGATGATAAATCGGGCCAAAATTTTGAAAATTATCTTCCATATTCTGTGAATTTCTGTGAAACACAGAAAATCATCGTCCCTGCCTTTGAGGTGTCAAAACGTCGTACAAAGAAAATGAAAAGGGTAACATGTATATAAAGATCGTAATTTAAATAATGTTCCTTTGTTATTATTATTTTTTTTTTTTTTAAAAAAAAAAATAAAATAAAATAAAAATAAAAAGTATTAAAACAGCTAAGCAAATATTTACAAGAATTGTATTGTTCCGATTTTTAGAGTTCTGTGCCTATAAGCACAAAACTTTGTCGGAAGAAAGCATCCGCTCGACACTGTCAATTTTACCTCCACTTTCTTTTTGAGGGGACAAATCAAATATTTGATCTTTATTAAATAATTCTTTAGATAAAAAATACGTCTGATAGTTGTAATAATACTTCTAGAGTAACTAAAAGTTTACGAGGTTCAGGTAATTTATGAATATGAAATTTGAAAGAGAAGACGAGCTTAACAAAGTTTTACTTTCACAGGTATTACATATATATTAATTCATATAAAAATGTTTTTATTATCATTCATTATCATTATTTTTTAAACGTAATTTTTTATTTTAATTCAAAATTACAATTTAACAGGATGTGATAGAATCTTTGACAACTGTAAAGTATGTGGCTCTTATAGCGCTCGATAGTTTACTTCGTCAAATCGTATCTGAGAATACATTACATATTTTGCCTCCGCCTGTATTCAAATTAAATACGACTTTTTCAAAAGTTGATACTCGAAAAAGATCAGCTTCTGAAAGTCATAGGTCATGTATTAATATGAATCCTGTATTTGAAAGTTTGCCCAGGGAGGAAAGGGATGCTTGGTTGCGTTCACAATTGTTGGCAGGTATTGCTGATAATGCAACTAAATTAGGTGTTAAGAATGAAATAAAACAAATTGATTCAGGACCTATTTCGTCTGATGTTGCTACCCTTGATAGGATTCAACATCATTTAGATGCCAACGTTCCATACGTTCCTAATGATGATTATAATTTAGCATGTACATTAGCCGCACTTTTAGGGTATCTTTATCAAATTTTAGAGTTAAGTGAATCACAAGGGTATGTTACCAACTCTCATTCTGCCGAGGAACTTTTACATAATATAAATGGGGATAATATTTATAGCACGTTACATAAAGAGGTTACCACTTTACAAAATCGTCGTGTAAGTTTGTCTCAACATTCCAATGTTGCAGATGAACGACTTGCTACTTGGAATGAAATCGATAGGTTAATGGAAATTGTTGCAAGTTTGTGTCGAGATCGATTACATATTGATCCACCTCCAAGATATTCTTATGATATTGATGATAAAGGTGGTTCAACAATAATCGACCCTCCAAAGTATTCTTTTTTGGGTACAGGTATAATGAACAATGAAAAAACCAAAGTTGATTTAGATAATGTCATTTCCGCGATAGAACGAGTTTATTACGTAGCTCCACAACTTAATAATCAACGTGTGGAGTTAAATGCACGTCAAAAGAAAGAATTAACGGCTGCCACATTATCATCTGCTATACAAAAGTTATCCCGGGGTCGTTTTGAAGAGCAACGCGCGGAATCAACATCAGTATTAAAATATCAAACTTTAAATTGTTTGGTGGATCAAATACAAAAATCTGCCGCAAAAAGTTTAGTAAATCAACGTGTAGAACTTAGCCCTCGACAAGTGCGAGATTTTGAAGTAGCAAAATTGAGTGGCGTTATTGATCGCTTGGACAAAAATCGAATGACAGATCAGGTAAAAAAAAAAAAAAATTTGTCTTTTCAGTGATTTTATTATGAATATTATTAAATAGATTTTCTACATCTTTAATAAAAAGGATTGGCATCCTCCTGAACAACTTCTCATTCAAGATTTGACCAGATTGACATGTGAATTAAGTTCCCCATATGCTTCACAACGTTTTCATCTTTCATCTGCAAAAGAAAAAGATATGTATATGAATAATGTAATGAAAAAAGTTGGAAAATTGCGATCTTATCGTTTCGAGAATCAAGATGCTCATTCGTCTACTAAACCTGATGAATGCTCATACAATGAAATCGAAAATATAATTGCTAAAATGCAATATAGCCCGTCTATGGAAAACCAACGTGCGACTTGGAGTCCAAAAAAATCGAAATTCCCATTTTATTTAACTGAATAATCCATCCATCCCATCGATTCTTGAACTTTGAAAAAATATACATTAATCAATTACATACTCTCTCTCCTCTACTTTTACAGCATAAAAAATCACCATTTTCAATTATAATCCTATATAATTTAAATTTTAAATAATTATAAATTCAATATCCTCTGATTGGGGTAAGTATTTGAAAGGAATTCTTTATTAAATTATTACAGTAACTGTAAATCAGGATACTAAAATCATGATTCCCTCATCAAACCTGATAATAAAATTATAACTAATGATTATGCAAAAAAAAAAAAAAAAAAAAAAAAAAAAAAACAATGTCATTTTCTTATCAATATTCAGGATTTACTATAAAACATCGCATGTTATAAATATAGTGTTAAAGGATTAATGTCTCAAAAAAATGTCATAAATACTTCTGAAAGATATATTATAAAGTAATTAATATCTCTCCGATTTCTCTCTCCTCTCATCCTACATCCTACATGATTACATATAAATAACCATTTAAATTCGGAATTAATATTCTAACATTCGTAGTATGTAATTCATCATTGTAACAAAGACAATGTTTTACGGGCTAAGGCAACGATTTCATCTGAGTCATCATCATCATCAGGTTCTTCACCGTCAGTTGTTACCCCAAATTCAGCCAAGCTATTTATTGCAGACACGATTGTATCCGAGGAAGAAATGTTTGCAAACAACTTTGGATCTAATATAAAATTAAAAATCAACTCAGTAATGTGTCTTAACTATATATATATTGTATATAAATTATTTACCTCTTCCTTCTAAAAATTGGACAATAGTCCAAACTGCAATATGTTTAAATGTTTTATCGGTACTTAATAAGAAACGTTGCAAATAACCATTAAGGCCACCTTCTGGCTGTTCCCAAACTTTAACGAACGGCGAATAATCTTGAACTAAATTGAAATTTAAAATATCAGTTGAAATATGTTAAGATTAAAGTTTATGCCATTAATATTTAAGAATTTAAGATTTAATTACCTTTTGATGACAAATTTCCTAAAGCAGCGGCACTGTTTCCTTGCACCTCAACGCTTGAAGAATTTGTCAGGGGAAGCAATACTTGACATATACCCAATTTTAATAACCTTGGTTTTAATTCATCTATAAAAAAAATTAAATGAATAAACAAAAATATATATATAATATATAGTAATAAAATGGTTAAATAAAAAAAGAGAGAGAGATCGTTTTACCACTTAACGCTAAAACAGCTACACATGCAGTCATTTCGCTTTGAACGCTTAATGGCACATTTAACACCAATTCTATTACTCGTTCAACAGCCCCAGCATCTACAATCGCGCGTTTATTTCTTTCTGAGCTGGCTGCAAGATTTCTTAATGTGCTAATGGCATGACATTGAATTTCTTCGTTTTCTTCGTATGCCAAAAGCTGAATTAGAGGTGACAAGAAACCCGCATCGATTATTGGAGATTCATTAAGTGGATGGATAGAAATGTTACGAATGCAAGCTACCGACGAAAGAATTAAAGGAAGAAAAGATGATTGAAGTAATCTTAAAAGAGGTGGTAACCCTCGAGAACGAACTATCTCGAGCTGATATTTTTCTATAAAATTAAAAATATAAACGTTACCAAGAATCTTTAATAAAAGTGTAAAAAAAAATAATTTATTATAAAATAAAATAAGCTGACCATCTGAAGCTAAATTTCTTAATGCTAAAGCTGCCTGGCATTGCACTTTCAGCGAAGTAGAATCCATTAAACCAATCAACGATTGTACCAAGCGTGTTTCTGATGAGGCAAGCTTTCTTCGGTTTAAAGCTATAATAATTTGTATTTTGATTTTAGGATTAATAATAACACAGAGAGAAAAAAAAGAAAAATTGAAATACATACCATCAACGGCGATATTACTAAGCGCAGTTGTACAATAATATTGAACATCCGTATCGGGTGAATTTAGAAGGCTAACTAATACAGGTATAGCGCCAGCATTTACAAGTTGTTGCCTGTTCTCATCTAGAATTCGAAACAGTTTAGACTTGCTGTAAATAATATAATTAACCATTATTTACATGAGAAATTCGCAATCATTATAATCATTATATACCAGAATGTGTCATATTCAATAAAGCGCCTGTTGCGTTTCTTTGAACCCGCATGTCTTTAGAACGAGCTAATCGTGTAAGCGGTACCAAAGCACCAGATTTCGCAATTTTTGATTTATTTTCATCTGATTTGGGTAATATTTAATTAGAAACATAACGTATAAATCAAGTAACTTTTTATTTCAAATAAATTATATGTAAATTACCATGTGTAGCCAAATTAGTAATGCATCCAACCGCGTTACATTGTACTTCAACATTTGGTGATAACATTTGTCGAATCAATGGTTCCAAACCTCCCATTTGCACAATCAACAACTTATTTTCAGCTTGAAAATCAACGAGTGGAAATTTAGAAATTTAGATATATTTTTAGGATCAAATATTGAAAAAGAGTATTTACTATTAACAGCCAAATTTCCTAATGCAGCAGAGGCCGCTCTTTGAACCTCTACATCAGGAGATTGAAGAAGGAACATAATGGGTTCCATAGTTTCACGGTCCACTTCCCTAACATCTTCTTGGGACGATCAGGAAAAAAAATAAAATAAAATACAAAAATAAAATTAAACCAAATTAGAACATCGAATAATATTAATAATGAATTTATTTAAGAAATATCTCCCAGTTCCAAAAAAACCTTTTTCAGTTATTTCCGCAAAGGCTAATGCCGCTGAACGTTGTAAGTCCACATTATCCGAAAAGGCCAATGTGGAAAGAGCACGTAATGGGTCGCCCTCAAAAAAGTTAGTTTCGGCACGATCTAAACATTAAATAAAAAATGCACCAAATTATCAAATTATGACTATATTCAATAGTTAATAATTAATGAAGGATAGCCAACTCACTCTCAAGATAGGTTAATAAATCTGCAACTGCTTCACGTTCATTTTCTTGCAGCAATGGTTCGTATAGGCTCTTCGTTTTCTCTAAAAAAAAAAAAATTGAATTCAATTTCAGCATAATATATTTTCAGGTTTTTTTTTATAACTAGTTTTCAACATACTTCCAAAAAGACAAGATAAGCAAGCTCCCATTGTACTTTTCTACTTTCTTTTTATAAGAGATATATCAAATTAAAAGCCGATGGACTAGAGTGCCAAAAGAATGTGGCAACTAGTACGCGGAGAAGTATAAATAGAAAGATTTATTGTAGTAATGAGAACGTGAAGTTTGTAGTTTTAATGACCAAATTTTTCTGCAGGTATACTTTTTGCTCTTGCGAAAAGTAAAGGAAGTAATGAAGCAACCAACGGAAAAATAACGTCCACTAATTTTAATGAAGGCAAAGAGTTGTTTAAATTTTCAATGAAACACCGAGGATATATATTTTCTTAAGAAAAAACTTTTTAGTGCCTGATCGATGAACGCCTTATAATCCACGTCACAATTAGTTTTAGATCGCCTATGCTGCTGACCTACTCTATTTTCTAAATTACTATATTTATCAAAATTAAAAATGGTTTGTGTTAATTCCATGTCAATCTGGTGCTTTGATTAAATTCCAAGTTCAATCTTATTTAAATATCAGAAAATGGGACTGATGCGGCGCAGCAGGTCTACTCTTCTATGTTCTAATAATAATTTAAATCTGTATTAGTTATACCCTATAAAAGGCACTATTCTCACGAGAAAGGGGCTTCCAGAATCAGTTCAAGTTTTGCCAGACAAACTGCAAGCCTATGTAACGTTTCGGAAACGTGCAGAATTTGTTTATTTTAGAATTATTGAATTATGATATTTAATTAACAAAACAAATTCCAAAAGATATTAACAAATGAAGAAATACTTTTCCCTTTTTTTTTTTGAGCCATTTCTGAAATTTACTACGCCTTACTGTGCCATAAAGGACCCTTTAAAAATAGAATGCATCATGTTAATCTTTGATAAAAGGGGAAATTTTTTTGTTACAGAAATTGATTGCAGCAGCAATGTTCCGATCAATCATCAATCTATAATACGCGCTTAATTTTATTCTAAGGTATGAAATGAAAGCTTTCTTTGATCTGGATATTGCACTTAGTCGTCTCTTTAAAATCATTTTTTTTTTTTTAACTTCTCACACTTTCCATTCCTTTATACTCGTAACATCACATTCATACCAGAGTTAAAATAATAATGGATAGGTATGATTCAAGTCATTAAATGAAACAAGGACGGTGTTTTTCGAGAGAGATGATTTCTTACATGTTTTTTTTATTATATAGTCTTGAATGTGACCTTCATGGCTTGATAATGGAACAGCTGGTTGATATATTAAGTATCGACCCGGACACTACAAAAGAAGAAGTATCACGTTTTATAAAAAGATGTCCGGAGTTACCAAAGGATGATAATATAAGTGAAGAAGGAAATCATAACATCATTTTAATGGTACGTTCTCGGAAACTTATGAAGGTTTAGATATAAGTTTTTATTCCCAATTCATTGCATTGATTAAAATTAATGGTTTACATTTAGACGAAAATCTTAAAACAAAATATATCGGCTCTAGCTTCACTTACAGCAAAAACAAAGTGTGAAGCCTATGCTGACGAAATTCTTCCGATCCTTTTAAATTATTTAAGATACATTCCAATATTTTCTTTTGAATCGGATCTTACATGGAAGGGTGAATATATACATATATATATATATATATATAAAATATGTTTTTTCTTTTCTATCATTATCATTATGATTAAAATTTTGCTCATATTATATTGTAATCGTAATCGTATTACATTAGAATTTTCATTACCGGATCAGCTTTCAGGAGAATTAATATCAGAACTACTTAAAATTGCAATTAAATTTGGTCACAAACGAGACATAATTGTAAAAGATATTTGTGCATTTCTTGGAATTCTAGAAAAAAAATTGACTTGTGGCAATGGTATGTTCTTTTATTTGGAATTTAAATAAATAATAACTATTTGTTTCTTTATCTAATTTTAACGTTTTGTTTATTAATTAATTTGGCGAGTTAGTTGAATACATTTGCACTGTAATTCTTCCCCTGTTAAATGGTTTTTTTCGTGCTATTCAATCTTCACATATCTCATGGAATTGTAATGATTTTGAATTCGTGGCTCTTCAAACCCAACTTCTTGTAAGTAACGATTGCTTACAAGAAGTTGGACAAATTATCGAGACAGTGTTGCAATCTTCAGAGCCGCGATATTACTATGCTAAAAAATTTTTAATGAGATATCAATATAGAGGCTCACCTTTGTCAAGTAATGGTATCATTTTTGGCATAACTATAATGATGAGAAATATATTAGCGCGTGTTATTATCGTCAGTAATAATAAAGATGATAGCGTTACTTCAATGACGTTCAAGGAAATTTGGGATGCCTTAGTAAAGTGTAAGGCAAATATTCCTATACCTGTGACGGATTATGTTAGGAAAACTCTGCGCAAGACCTATGTCATGTCTTTGCAATACTTTGCTGAATTGACCAAGCTATCGAATAATATTGTTGCACAAGGCAATGACTATCCATCTTCTCTATATGTCCGAGAAATAATGGCTGCTAGCCTGGTACAATTTACTATATTGTTTTAACATATAAAGTTACTCGTATTTTATCTTTTCTAATCGAATCATCTCAAAAATTATAGGATCTTGCAGCTATTGCAAGTGTTTATCTACACGAGGTTGATGATGAATTAATCAATAAATTGACTGCTTCCTTATTTACTGTTCCACAAACACCAGACGTTAAAGTTCAAACGTCTGCACTTGATGCAATTACTCTCCTTGCCCTAAAGTTTGTATATTAGGAATGATTTTTTTTTCCCTTCTCATCAAACCATTTACAAATTAATTGATTTATTTCCTTTTGATTTGTAGCTTTTCTTGGGCCAATTTAAAAATGATTCAGACTTTTCGGAAATTTTTGATTACACCATCAACAATTTTTGAATTGGCTGTTGCAGTTGAAAAGAATATCTCGATACTAGATTATGCAATAATTCGTCTTGCTTATTGTCTGAAGGTTAAATTCGCTAATTATTTATTTAATTTTATACGATATACTTCTATTATGATCTCTAGCTTACCAGTTTTTAAATGTAATTTTAGGCGGTGAATCATGAAACATCTAAATCAGTTATCTATAAACTACTTGCAATCCTTCCTTCTGATAGACCTGACCGTTCTTCAACTTCTCTTACTCCAAATTCCACCCTAGCTCCGGATCAAATGTCAATTCATAGCTCAGTCAGTGGCATATCGCGTAATGAAGAACAACGTCAACAGATGTATGAAAATATAGTTTGTACGGTTACTGGGGTTGTCTGCATTTTGAAAGACGATAATGTACTTTTGGTTATAATTTTCATGATATTTGTACTTTGTCAAAATTTCTTTTAATATAAATTTGTTCTTTATTATGTTGGTTTTTAGATTACCGAATTAATTGTTTATATGCTTAGTCAACGTCTTCGTAATCATACACCAGCATTGGACACACTGATTCTTGAAAAATTTGTCGATATTGCATTGATTTCATCAGAAAAAGTTTTTTCTGAAATTGTCCAAAAGTTTTCCGATATTAGTCGTCAATCTCTGTCTCCAGAAAACAAAATTGTTACTACCGCGGTAAGGTTTCATATAGTTTTTTATTCATTAATTTACTACTGAGGTAACATTTGGTTAAATATATATCATTAAAGTTCCTTTTTTAAAAAAAAAAATTGATTTAAAGGTTCTTAAATGTCAATTATATTTGGCGAGTAGGCTCAATTCTCGTCCGGAATTCTATGGTCTTTATTTACTAAAGATTTTGTCGTTATTTGTGGAGAAGGGAGTTGTAATCCAACAAACGGTTGAAAAGAATGGCAAATTTCAGGTAAAACATATATTTGAAGGAATCCATATTATTTATTATTATAAGTTCATATTTATTTTATTGCATTTTTAGATTACTTCACTGGCTGGTGAAATTGGGATTTTGCTTCCCGTTCTTAAAACTCTCTTATCTCATGATGATTTTACAGATCATATTAATTCTTCTGAAGAACTAGTTCCTCTTTTTAGAGACCTTTGGTTCCATTGCATACTGTATGGATTTGTATCAGAAGAAACTTGGATACCTGAATGGAGAGAATCGTTAGTGGTCATAGCTCAAAAAACACCACCACTTGTTCAGGAAACAATAAATTACCTTGAGAGTGATTTAGAATTCAAATCAGTATTGCGTAAAGGTAATTCCGACCAGGTTAGATATTTTTCAATCATCGATATTTTATACGTTGTTGATTAGCTCACAAGACTAAAATATCATTTGCATACTATTCAGGATCTTGTTAACGTTAGATCTTCACTATCTTCTTTCTTACCCAATCGTGCTTATGAAATAAAATATTTATCCTTTGCGGAAATTACATTTTTGCTCTCCGTGTATCATATTGAGATAATGAGAAGTCAAATGGGCCAATGCTCTTTCATCTTGAGATATTTTGTTAATCAAGGTGTAAGTGCTGGTAAACTAGTTGGCTGCATGGAAGAAATTGGCAATCAGGTCTGTTTAATTGTAATCAAATTTATTTTATAAATAGTAAAGTTTATAAAAAATTAATTTTTATTTTATCTTATTATTTTTTCCTGAATAGGTGATGGAGGTTTTCATCAGAGTATGCTCTAACAGGGCTATTGCACATACTATAGACGAAAACCTCAGAGCTCACGTTCGCAATCTTATGATTGCCACCTGTCATCGCCTTAGCAAAGTTAGTCAACTTTCTATAAAGGATCTCGATAATTTGATGACCGCGTTTCCTTCCTTGCTTTGCGATAAAAAATTATTGTTTTTGTTGTTGGAGTTGATCGAATTATTATGGCAAAGTTGCGAAGCCGAATATTTAAATGAGGTACAATTAAATGATATAAATTTAAAATCACTATATAACCCATTTAATTCCTTTTTTATATATAAAGTATTCGCCAACATATACGTATGTTTCGCCTAAAGTTGAAGTTTCACTTGACCTTCCCGATGATTATAATTACCGAAGAGAAATTTTATCAAGGTTATGTGAAAATTCGAAAAAGTGGTTGACAGCTGCAATGACACGTGTGCCTTCAGAAATTCGAGGATTATTAGAGGTACCATTCGTAAATTTTATATAGTATATAAAAACAAAGGTTCTGAGTAATCATCAAATTGTAGAATTACCTGGCAGAATTTGATCCTTATCTGTCTGACCATTCGGCTCATATGGGACGGTCTATCGCAATTGAGATAGGAAAAACCTTTTCTAATGCTGATCCTAATTCAGGTATGCTGTTAATTTGTAAGTGATCCTATTTTATTAAGTCTATTTACTCATATTGAAATTACTATTCATATTTGAAGTAATATTTCCCCGAGTACCAAACACAGCTGTTGATAATGTTTCAGAATTCATTAAAGATTACTCTGCTAGACGACATTTTTATGGACAAGTTACTGGAAAAAATCATTGGCAAAATTCTCTTAATGGCGGAGGTTGTTTTTACAATTACTAGATGTTAACTTACCGATTACAGTTATTAATGAATATTAACGTATGATCTAACGTTTAGATGAAAAACAAGAACTTTCATTTGGGAAATTTTCTGATCAGAATCAAGAAGTAAAAGCGTCTTTAGCTCTTTTAGAAAAGAAAGTTCATGAAGTTCCTCAGGTTTCCATGAAAGAATTAAATGATACGCTATATTTAGCAGCAGGGGTTTTGATATCTTCACCAAAGGTAATAATATCAATATCCTTTAGTTCAAGGATACCATTTATTAGGCTTTGAGGTTTTTAATTTTGACTTTATAACAAATCATTTCTCAATTTTCTTTATATCTTGTAGCCAGATGAAGAGATTCTTCATTATGTTGTATGGGTTCCCATATATATGTTTACTCCTGAATCATTAAAGCTTGCTACATCCATATGGAATTGGATAATAAATGAAAGGCCTACGGTTGAAAAAAGGATAATGGCAGAAATTGCCAATGGATGGGTTTGGACCGTACGACAACGAAAAGGATTATTCTCTACTGCACTCAAGTATGTGTTTAAGGTTAAAATAATCCAACAATAAAAAATTACTATATTTAATTAATTATGAATATATCTTTATGAAATAAAGTGTGAAAGATCCTTTTGTGAATAAAATGCAGTATGCACCTTCAGATAAGGCTACGCGAGATAAGAATTACAAATTGGCCAAATTTTTATTTGGTCCCCATTTGATTTGGTTACAATTTATATCTGGGCGGTATCAAGCCTTTAGATATAGATGTACGCAATTGGTTCAACTTTATTTTAGGTTATTTCAAGTAACTCTTGATGCATCCGTTTCTATAAGGTAAAATTTTTTTTTTTAAATTCAATCGAACTTTTTAACCTATTTATTATTAATCATATATTCAAATTATATTATTCAGTAATCATTCTTTATCACGGGAAGGTAGACTGCAAATTCTTATATGTGCACTTAAAATTTTACAATCAAATCGTATGGAAGCATCTATCGAACATAAATTCCGAACAAAAATTTTTGATTCGGCTTTTTCTTGGTTTTCCTTACCTCCAAAGTAATTATTATAAATTAATTTAAATTTTTTTTTTTTTAAAAAAAAAGGGAACTAATATTGTGGTCTTTATTATATGGTCAAATTTATTTAGATGGGCTTATGGTGGTAACAAAAGAGCAATGATTACTGAATATAAACTTTTAATTGATGTTTATAAATTGGTTGAAAATGATAAAGTTGAACTCGCAGAAGTTTTATCCACTACACCTAAAAAATATTCCCAGTTTTCTTTGTCAAATACTACTTCAATTGCAATGACAGGTACGTTAATTTATTCATTATTTCGAACACCTTTTCATTAAGTTTTATTATTTATCATTACCTTGTTCATTTAGATAAAATCCGAGAAGAAATAATAAATAAAACTACAAGATCCAAAAAGTTATTGCTATTATTTCTCGAAAGTGAAATAAGTAATCTGGCAACTTGGAGCAACCCTTTAAATACACCGGATTTAATTAAGGATAATTTTGTTCCTGTAATAGAAAGTCGTTTAACCGAGGTAATCACTCTAAACTCTATAATTCTTTACTTAGTCATCTAATACTAATAAACGTTTCATATTATAGGATGGTTGGAAAAATAATGTTAGGCATGCCTGGTCAATTTCTCCTCAACTAGCAGTCCAAATGTCATCCAGGTTCAAAAATTCATTTGTTCAAAATGAGCTTCATAGAGTATTAGCAAATAATGCTAATGAGGCCGTGTGGGTTGCTGAAGCTTTACCGTTGTTACTTGGTGATAAATTAAATCAGAATGTTCTTTCACAACTCAAGGTTAATGAACTTTTTATTTTAAACTATTATAGAGAACAAAAAAAATTTTTTTTTTTTACTAATTGAACTTTACTCATCAGTACTTATTATATTGGGCGCCGGTGCCTCCGATAACTGCAGTCACTTACTTTTCATCCACATATGACAATAACCCCTTAATTCTTCAATATGCGATGCGTGCTTTAGAATATCATGATGTTGATATTGTATTCTTTTACATTCCACAAATTGTACAAGCATTACGTTACGACACTTTGGGTTAGTGTAATCGACGCAATAATAGACACTAGTTCTAAGTTTCTTGCAATATCTAATTGAAATTACTTAAATTCATTAACTAGGATATGTGGAAAGGTTCATAATGGGTGCTGCAAAAATTTCTCAATTGTTTGCACATCAGATTATTTGGAACATGAAAGCAAACATGTTTAAAGATGATGAAAGCACTATAGTAAGCCTTTCGATTTTAACATTACTTTTATTTATATTATACTTATATTTCCTAACGTGTAATGTTGCAGGCTGATTCATTGAAACCAACACTTGATCGTATCATTGATAATATTGTCGAATCCCTATCCGGTGAAGATAAAACATTTTATGAAAGGGAATTCACTTTCTTTGAAAATGTTACATCGATATCTGGGAAATTAAAGCCTTATATCAAAAAGACAAAATCCGAAAAAAAGGTATGACATTTTTCATTTGCAAGAGTAAATTAAAAAGGATTTTTAAACATTATTTTAACATTATCTTTGTAACAGCAAAAGATTGACGAAGAAATGGCAAAAATTAAAGTGGATGTAGGTGTTTATTTACCAAGTAATCCAGAAGGCAAAGTAATAGGTATAGATTACAAGTCAGGAAGACCATTACAGAGTCACGCAAAGGTAATATAATTATTTCTTTATAAAAAATTTTAATTATTTATAATTTAGAATGATAAATTTATCGAATGAATGTTAGGCACCTTTCATGGCTACTTTTAAAATTCAAAAAACTCTCCAAGATTCCGAAGTGATTCAGGAAAAATTAATTCGTTCCGGTTATATTGATGGAGACGATGATGATGACGATGATCCAAAGACTATCGACGTATGGCAATCAGCCATCTTTAAAGTCGGTGATGATTGCCGACAAGATGTTCTTGCTTTGCAATTGATTGCAATTTTCAAGAATATATTCACTAGTATAGGATTGGATTTATATCTTTTCCCATATAGGGTTGTTGCAACATCTCCCGGGGTATGAATATAATTTTCTTGAGTATTTTTTGCTTTATTCTTTGTTAAATTCGATTTTTAATATAGAGTGGAGTAATCGATGTAATTCCGAATTCTATGTCACGTGATCAAATGGGACGCGAGAAAGTGAACAGTTTATACGAGTAAGTAGTTGACAAACAATAGATTTTTTTTTTTTTTAAAAAAAAAAAGGAGCTAATATTTCTTCTTGTTATTCAAGCTATTTTGTTACAAAATATGGAGGAGTGGATTCTATCACGTTTCAAAAAGTTAGTAGGAAAATCTGTTCATTTTAAACAAAAAATTTTATGAAGTTTATTTACACAGAACAAACCTTTTTTTTCATTATTATTAGGCAAGAAATTGTTTCATACAAAGTGTTGCGGCATATTCGGTTGTATCTTATCTATTACAAATTAAAGATCGTCATAATGGTAATATTATGTTGGATGAAGAGGGGCATATTATTCACATTGGTAAGTCTCCAATCAAAAATTGTGACCAATAAGAAATTTGCTGATATATTATTATGTACTGTAAATAGATTTCGGGTTTATCCTTGACATCGCTCCTGGTGGAATTACTTTTGAAAGTTCACCATTTAAACTTACTACTGAAATGATTCAAGTGATGGGTGGAAGATCCGATGTACAACAATTTAAATGGTTTTCGGAATTATGTATTAAAGCTTATTTGGCTTCACGGTAAATTTTCTTTAAATATATATCTTCAATTTTTATCTATAAAACTTATGTTAATTTTATAATCTTTTGATTAGGCCCTATGCTGAACAAATTGTCCAATGTGTGGCATTAATGCTTGGTTCCGGACTACCATGTTTTAAAGGTGACACTTTGAGAAGATTGCGCGATCGATTCCAATTAGAAAGGACTGAGCGTCGAGCAGCTAGTTTTATGATTGAAAAAATTAATCAATCATTTGAGAATAAAAGAACAGTTTGGTATGATAGCTTCCAAAAAGCAACTAATGGTAAGTAATTAATTTCCTTAAATAAATAATATATATATATATATATTTTTTTCAAATTTTAAATGATTAATTCAAATTATTTATATAATATATACAGGAATCCCACATTAAGTTGCTTCGCTATATTGTATCGAATAATATTAATAATATTAATGATCTATTATTTAATTATTTTATTTTCTTAATACCTTATAGAAATTATTATTATAATTTATAATTGATAAAATTATGTTATTCTTTAATGTTCTAATATAAATAAAGTTCAAAATTTAGATAAATTTATTTAATGATTAAGTAATATATATATATAATTGTGTCCAAACCTCTAGTATTATATTAATAGCATAAGAAGTAATATTTGTAAGATACAAATATATATATCACGTGAATATTTTTATTTTCCCCCTTTCATTCTATTCTCTTAGTCATGTAAATTTTTAATGCGATCTCTGAAATTATCTAGAGCATTTTTAGCTTTTCCACTACGTATACTTTTGCGAGCTAATATAACACCATCTTTGAAATCTTTTGCTAAACCAGCAACCACTAATGCAGCAGAAGCATTTAAAAGTACAAAATCTAAAATCGGACCTTCATATTCATTTGAAAGTAACTTAATTAAAAGATCAGCATTCTCTTGAGGTGTCCCACCTTTGACAGCGCTTATTGGATGAGAAGGAAGATCAAAATCAACGGGTGAAATTGTATATTCTCTAATATTAGATTGAGATAAATGCCAAACAAAAGTTTCCCCTTCAGTACTTATCTACATAATAAAAATCTTAGATCAGCTTAAAAAAAAATTTTTTTCTTTTAAAAGAAAAAAAAAAAAAAGAAATTTTTAGGTATTGAATTTACCTCATCCAAACCAATAGCACCATTAACAACCATAGCCTCTATCACACCTTTTAATTTTAAAGCTTCAATAACTAATTTACCAAGAGATTTTGAATGTACGCCAATAACAACCCTTTTTGGTTTAGCAGGATTAGAGATAGGACCTAATAGATTTAATATAGTTGGGACACCAATTTCACGACGAGTAGAGGCTGCATAACTTAACGCAGAATAAAAATTTTGAGCGAATAAAAAACAAAAATCTGTTGATTTAATGACATCATACGCATTTTGTGATGTAACTTTTGTAATTTCACAACCAACTTTTTCTAAAATGTCAGCTGAACCACTTTTGGAACTGGCAGCTTTATTACCAAACTTTTTTTTTTTAAAAAAAAAAAATAATATTTTTTAAGAAATAAAAATAAAGGGATCAAATAAAATAACAATCAAAACAAAATACCTTGACAACTTTACAACCAGCACCAGCTATAACTATTGATGCGGTAGTTGAAACATTAAAAGTGTCCATACCATCGCCACCCGTCCCAACGATGTCAATAATTGAATCTTGTAACCCTTCATACACGGATAAATCCAGATTTGTAAATTTTAACATGGCTTTTGAACATGCGGCTACAATGGCAGGGTCGGAATCCTTATGATTTAATTTCAATGCTACTAAAAACGCGGCTATTTGAGCCGAAGTAGCATGATTTTGCATAATTTCTGTTAAAGCAGTTTCCGCATGAGTCGTTGTAAAATCATTAGGCTGTAAAATCAATGTTTTAATAATTGCTAAAATAGTCATTTTTAAACGATAAAATCCTGAACCCGTAATATAAATCTTTGCTTATTATTATATTTTTTTTTTTTTGACCGATTATCACTATCAATTATCAAAAAAATACGTGTAACGTAACTCGCGTAAAGTTTTTCCCTAATATTATATATATAGAGGGAAAAAAAAAAAAAAAAAAAACCCCCACTTTCACTCCGCTCCCAAAAAAATAAATAAATAAATAAAACTGTTCGCCCTTAATATTTTTAATATTAAAAAACTCCGTTAAGATAGTTTATTGCTTTTCACATTTATCAAGAGATTTTTATTACAAGAAAAGAGTATTTAAAATTTACAACTTATACAAAATGGGAAAAATAACAAAAACGTTTCTGCTGAAAAAACAAACGCCAATAACATTCACTTTAACACTCGAGCTAGTAAATCTGTAGAAAAAACCTTCAGTTTAACTGCTTAATCAAATAATATAACAAAGATATTGTTGCTGAGATTTACAACTATTGTCATCCAAAGTTCTTGACAAAGATGAATATATTCCCATCAAAAAGGATAATATAGACACTGATAACATTTTTTGCTTGTGTTGTAACTGTAGAAAAAAACAGCCAAAGAACTTTCTATCATGAATATTATCAAAAACTTTCATCAAAGATTAGGAGAAAAATTCTTGATTTTCATGTGCAAAAAATATTTGATCAAGATGGTTTATTAATTTTGCAATTAATTACACATTGTGATACTTATTTATCACCAGTTGCAATTAGTTGTAATACTAACTTTAGTTATAATAAAAATACGAGTTAGAGATTAGGGATTAGGGATTAGAGATAATAGTGTTGCACTTTAATTATATGAAAATATTTACTATAGACAATGATTTCATATGACAATTTTAAAAGGAGGTTATATTTCTTTGTAAAATTAACAAGCCAATGGTAAAATATTATATCATAATTAAAATAATTATATTAATAATAATTATTTTTAATTCCTTTTATAATGAATTTTGATATAATGAATTTTACAATATAATGAATCTTTAATATAGTACAGATTTTATTATATAGAAAAGGTTTTGTAATACTGAATTGTATTAGATAATCTTATTTTAGATGAAACTATTTTTTTTTGTAAATTTAACAAATAATAATGTTATTAAAATTTTGAAAAAACAAAAATTAAATCTAGACAAAAATGATTTAGAAATATTAAAAAAATCAAAAATATTTGAAGCTAGTTTGTTATTATTGAAAATGAAAATTTTTATAAGATAATTTGGTAATAAGTTTAATAATTACAATTATAGAATTTATATGAAAATTAAAAAAATTATAGAAAAAATAGAAGTTACTATTAAAATAATAAATTTATATTACAAATAATTAAAATAAATTATGAGATTAATTTATTTTCTTTTTAGATCTTTAGTTTCTTAATGAATTTGATTTCTTTTATAAAAATTTTAATCATAGTATTATTACTTTTGGTATCTCTAAATTTTTAACTAGTTTAAAAATCTAATATTAAATGGTTTTATTTACAAATTTTTCAAATCTGAATTTAGATTAATTTTTCTTATTAAAACCAATTTGGTTATTCCTTAATATTTAAATAGAATTATGAGATTTTCTTTCTTTAAATTATTAAAAAAAAAAAAATTATCTTCACTTTTTTTAAAAAAATAAGATTTAATTAGTGAGAATAATATTAGTAAAAGAATAATTTGTGATATTTTAAAAGCAAATACTGTTAGTTTGCTATAGATTTTAATTTATATCAAGTTGATTTAAAATATAAAAAAATCATTTTTTTCTAATATTAAAAAAGCATTAACTATTTAGATAAAAACATCCTTAAAGTTGATTTTATTATAATTAATAATATTCTTTTATTTAAAGCTTTAGAATTTACTTTTTTACTTAAAAAAATAAGTTTAAAGGTTCTAATGAATAAGTTAACAATTTTTAAAAACAGCATAATTTATGACAACTAAGGTTGCTTATCTAAATACATTTTAAATTTGACAAAATGTTTAAATTATAGTTTCGTTAATTTTTTATTAAAGTTTTGATAAAATTTCGCATTTTTATAAGCTTTAATATAATTTTACCTTTTTCAGAATTTCGTAAATTTTTAATAAGATTTTAATATAATTTTGTTAAATATTATTTTTTTTCATTTAGACAACTTACAAAATCTTTAGATTTCATTTATCAACCTTAATAATAATATAAAATATATAGTAAAATTGCAAATATTTCATCTTTTATATTTAATTTATAAATAATATATAATAAAATATATTTTTTATAATAATTCAATTAATATTAATATTAGAAATATTAATTTTACTATTATTAGATTTCTCTTATCAAAATGATTTCAATGATACTAAGATTATTTAAATCTAATTAATGGTTAGGTTAAAAATTAGGATATATCAGATAATAAATTTTAAAACCCCCATATAATTCACAAATTTTGTTAGAATTTACATATAAACTTTATGCAAAATCTAATCAGAGTTATAGAAAAAAGAATAAAAAATCTTTTTTCTCTTTCATTCAAAAATAACTGAAAACAAATAAAATAATAAAAATTTATTTTGCTCAATATTTTCAAATATTTTTTCAACAAAGAAAACTATACTTTTAATAAACTACTCAAGTTACTTAAACCCTTTATCAAAACTAAAGATAAAATTATCATAAACTTTTTTGATTATAAATATCTTGCAACTTTTCTTTTTATAAGAAAATTCAATTTTAAATATGATAGAAAATATCCTATTTCTGCTAAATTTCTAAAAATTATTTAGGTTTAATTTGCTTATACTTATTTTTTCATTAATAATGAAACTGAAACTAATGATTATAATACAATACATACATAAAAAATTATTAAAAATACTTTTTCCTAAAAAGAAATTTTACAGAAGAAAATAAATATAAATGAGTCTTCTTCAGCTTCTTTATTCTTAGAATATAATAACAATAATACAACTATATTAGAAGAATGTATCTTCTTTTCAGACAAAGACAATTCTTATTATTCAGAAATTGATCATAATTTAATTCATGTTAATAAAGACAGACAATATAATGTTAATATAATCTTAGATATTTTTTCTTCTCCTCTGCTAATCTTGTTAAATATTTTAAACATTAAATAAAATAACAAATAAAAAATAAATAAATAAATAACAATAATAACTATATAACAAATACCTTAAATAAACCTTTCAATTCATATGATCATAATATTATCAACAAAGATGTATCAAAAAATAAAGCATGTGACTTATACATTAAAAGAAATAATATTGACATTATACAAAATAATCATAATAAAAAAAGTTACAAAATAACTTAATAAATAATAATATGCTAAATCTAACAATAAATAGTAACATCACATAAAATATATAAATAAAAAGATCTTTTTCAAATCATACAAAACCTAGTTTAAAAAAGAATAATCAATATCAGTTAAATAATAATAAAATTAATTATTCCAGAATCTCCTCTTTATCACATGTTTTTATAATCATTATGTTAGTCTTCATTTTAAAAAAATCACAAATAGACAAACTAAATTTTGTCAAAATTGTCATGCAATCTTTCTTAGATTCATTAATATTAATTGGCAATTTAAAAATAGCAATAATAATATAATAGTATATTTCAGTTTTATAGATTTACTAATAACTATGATTAAATCAGTTAATATTTCATATCCTATACTTCTAATCAACATTCTATCCTATTTCTTATCAATCAACAAAAAGAATAAAAGTAAAAAAATATAAAATGTTAAAAGTTTTACAGAATATTTTAAAGAATAGTATTTCTAAAAGAATTTTTTTTTCAATCTTATCATATTAATTGAAAATAATTATAAACATATTATAAACAATTCACATGATATATTCATAACTTTAAATATTTTAAAATGAAAAAAATTTACATTTAACAATTTTTAAACAATTAATATATCTTTATACTATATTAGAATTAACTCTAAAAATACTATACTTAAAGATTTAAAGAACAGAATAAACATGTTGTTAGCTTTAAAGATTTCCTAACAATTTTATAGCAGTATAAGCTTTCGATATTCTTAGACTATATGAAAGTAAAACTTATTATTCTATAACTCTATTATTTATATTGCATTCTTCATAAAAGAAGAACTTTTAGAAGCCTGTTTATCTCTAATTTATTGTAACAAATTTAGAATTTTTGGTAAAATAAGAGTTTTCTTTAGATTTTATATTCTATCTACAAGTCTAGAGTTCAATAAATTAAAAAATAGTTTTAATAAATTTAGAAGAAATCTTTCTTCTATTAAATGACCAATCCCTTACCATAATGATCAAATCAATGATTTCATTAGACATAAAAAACATATTTTAGAAAAATATAATAATATTTTGACAGAATTAAATTCTTCTTTGATATATAACATTTTAGTTTCAAATAAAAATAAGAATTTTATATCTAATATTTCAGAAGATCCTCTTGCTATTATAATGGTTAAATTAAATAAATTCAATTCTATAAAAGAACATTTAGCTAGATTGGATTCTAAAGTTGAATCCTTCAATACCTTTTTATTTAGTAATGGGTTCTACTCTATTGCTAAGACTCTGAACTTCTATAATATAACTCACAAATGATTAATATTTATTTACTATTAACTTTACATATTATATTCTTTATTGTAACTTTACGTAAACTCAAATCTAAGTTCAAAATTAGCATTAAAATATGCAAATTTAAAATCTGTGTTAAAAATCATTGTAATACATTATAATCATAAGTTGTGTTACTTAGCTTAACTTTAATTAAAAATTTTCATAATATTTTTATACTGGTGTTTTATCACTGTTAACATAAATACTACTAAAATATCATTTTTATTTGAATTTTTAATATATTTTTACTTTAATTTGTAATAATTGCTTTTTTATATCTTTACGATTAAAGTAATTATATAAATTCTATTTA